TCACCAAACGACTCTATTGACTGTGAAGGTACCTCAAACACAAAAGTATTCAAGGTGACTAATGGTTGTCTAGCCATAGTAGTATTCAGCACCATTGCGGCCTGTGCATCTTTAATTATTTTTTCCACATGCGGACTGGAAAAATGCAATGTTGGAGTATTGGAGTTGTGCTCTTGTTTATGCATTAGCTCGCTGCCTTGGCCAGTTTTTTGTTTGCTCTGTCCTTCCTTGTTACCATCAGTAGCTTTATAAGCTAAAAGCATAACTTGTTCAACATTGACACCACTAACATCTTGCCCCTCTGTGTGTACATACTCCCCAGTTGTGTGCAATGGAGCATTGACTGCAATATCCTATTTTTCACTAGTTGGTACAGCTGCTGCTGATGTTGTTACAACACCAGTAACTTCACACTCCAAACCTACAGTTTCAGATGTTGCCGATTGGCTTTTTCTGTGTGGTACCTGTGCAGTACCTTTGCCCCTTGATTTTTCAGCCTTAGTAGTTGTTCGATCCACAGTTGTTTTCAGAGTAGAAGCTGGTTTCCGAAACTCTGTTGTTGTTTGCTTCATTCCAGCTGAAAGTTGAGGTTGATTAGTCACTACAGCTGCACACTCCAATTGCATTACATCTACAATTGTTTCCTCAACTTGTTCCTGCTCCAGCTGCAGTACCTCATCAGCAATTCCATGACCTGATGCCACACCTGTAGTTATGTTCTGCTCTGCATTAATAGCTGGAACTCGATCCTCCTTTGCCTTCTCAATTTGTGCAGTAGGTTCAACTTGAGCAGCAGGAGAAGGTTTAGCACTAAGTGCAGCAGTAATTTGAGCAGTCTCAAAATTTGGTCTACCACAGTAGCATCAACTGTTTCTGCTCCTGCTTTGTCCAGTTCTGACAGTGCTATTGCTGATTTATCAGCTAGTTCAACAGCAGCTAAATTTTTTTGCCCGACACTTGGACCCTTACAAACACTAGCTGAACCTCGATCAAACACTAGCATATTAGCTGCATGCTTAGCACTGGTTGCTCCATCAGTTCCAACCCCTGATGCACCAGTTGCACCCTTTGTATCTCTAGGATTTTTAGATGATACTCCACTCTTAGTTCTCTCAATTTGCTGCACCTTAAGATCATTCTGCCCATAACCTGCTACACCCTCTTCCTCTGATGCAACAGTAGGAACAGTTCCTACAATATCAGGCCTTTTTAAGGCCTCCTTTAACTTTGTTCGAGCTCCTATATAATCCACATTACCCACACCTATTTTAGCTTGCGTCACAGAATTTTGATCAATTGCAACAGAAGTCAGAACCCCCTCACGATAATGTCCTACATTTGCCATGTTAATTTTAACTTCACTAGGTTACATCTTCAAAAACTGCTGCTGCCCAGAAACAGAATTTTGCCCTGCATCAGCAGGACCAAACTTATCAGTTGCATCAGTTTTTTGTACTTGCAAAGCATCTCTAACACTTGTAGCATCAGCTCATTTACTCAAAACATCACACACTTGCCGCCTTGCATTCTTATCACTTCCTGATCCTTCTATAAGTTGTGTCCTGGCTCTCTTAGCATTCAAAAAATCTCTTGCATCACCTTGTAATTTTCCACCTATTTGATGTTCATTCTCAACTGTTTCGTCATAAACACGAGCAACTTGAACTGCCTTTCCTTTTAAGAGTCGACATTAATTTTCTTCATGTCCTTGATGCTTACAATGGCAACAATACGAAGGTAAGTTATCATAGATAATTTCCTGGTAATCCTCAACAATCTTACCTGTTTTAACTTCAAGATATTGAAGTCTAATCTTTTCAGGAAGTTTGTCCAGTACATCAATGATAACCTTGACTCTTGTTGTGCTAGGATGTGATCTAACTTGTGTCACCTTATCAATTGCAATTGGTTTTCCAACAGCAGCTGCAATGGATAGTAAAGGTTTACGAGCAAATAGTTCAGGCGACAAATTCGGCAACGAAATCCAAACAGCCACCTTCGAGGTTTCCTTGTTTGGATTATATCCAACACTCCATGGGAATACTCTATATTGATGCTCACTTCCATTATGTTGAAAGTAGTTTACAGCTCTTGCCAAACAAGCCACATAATCTTCATGTTGATCACAACGAATTAAAAATTGCCTTGGAGCCAATGAACCTAACAAGCAATTACCTTTGATACCAAAGATTTTCGGCAGAATACTCCTTAAAATCTGTAAATTTGGTGCGCTGCTGGACAGCTTTATCATCACTGCTTGATGTAATCCTTCCTCCTTTACAAATTCTTCACCTTCATCCATGGAAAATTGAATCGTAGGAACTCCATGAATAATTGCAAAAGGTTTCAAACTCGTTTTTGTGAGAGATACGGTAGATTGCTTTTGATTCAAACTTGCTGCATATGTACTAATGTTGTTAATGTTTGGAATAACTTCCTTAGAGTTTGAATTCTTCTCTCCCACAACCAAAGGCTGGGGAGAGACATTGGCTGCCATGGAAGGGCTCTATTACGTAATTGTTTCAGCATACCATCGCGCAAAAGACAGAAATGAAGAAGCTGCCCAGTTCGCTACAATAGCGATTATATGCTACAGTAACTAGCAACAAAAAATTACGATCTATAAAGAATGACTATAGATCTGAAGGTGAAATCAATTGGATGTTAATCGTAAAGACAATATGTATCTTTTGACACCAAGTTTGGTTAATTCCACCACCGGATGCCGGAATTATGGCCTGAAAATGGTGACAAAAATACTATTCACATGAATTCTAGAGAGAAAGGAGAGAAATCATACCTCCTTAACTTTGCAGTTCCACACCTCACTTCTAAATTAGAATTTTGGAGTTTACGGTTGGTAGTGAAAATTTTGATATAGGAGTCGGAATGGAATTCTGAAAATTTGAATAGGTCTGTTGTGTCATTTGGGATGTGTGTGCAAAATATTTAGGTCATTCGGACGAGGGTTGATAGACTATTTGATCGAGAGCAGAATTTGGAAGGTTTGGAATTCTTAGGCTTGAATTCGATGGTGTTTTGATGTTTTGATGTTATTTTGAATGTTCCAAAGATTGGTATAAGTTTAAATAGTGTAATGTGACTTGTTCGTACTTTTAGTTGAGGTCCCAGGGGCCTTGGGATGATTTCAGATGGTTAACGGGAAGTTTGGAAATTTGTTTGAGCAGCTTCAGCTGCTGAGTTTTCTATCATAACCGCACCTGCGGATTGGGGACTGCAGGTGCGGTCCCGCAGAAGTGCAAGGGGAGCCGCAGACGCGGAAATGGGCGAGAGGAGCTGGAACCGCAGATGAGGATGTTTGAGCGCACCTGCGATAACGCAGGTGCGGGATTTTGATCGCAGGTGCGGTCCTTGGGCGGTTAAGTGAATTCAGCAGATGTGCACCTAGGACCGCAAGTGCAAGAATTCAATTGCAGAAGCAGTTTAGCTGGGGAAGAACATATAAATTTAGCCCTTCGCAATTTTTGAATTGTTCTTCACCATTTTTATCCGAGATTGGAGCTTGTGGGCGATTTTGAAGAGGGAATTCAAGGGAACTTCATGGAGGTAAGATTCTTGGAACCAAAAACTTCTTTCTATAATGGTTTTTGATTGATTAAGCTTGAAATCTATGAAAATTAGTAGCAAAAATTAGGGGTTTAGGGCTTGAAAATTGGAGACTTTAATCTAGGAATTTGAGGGGTCATTTGTGGTCGGATTTTGATATTCTTGGTATGTATGAACTCGTGAGAGTGTAAGGATTCTAGTTTTATGAATTTTATCGGAATATGAGATGTGGGTCCGGTGGTCAGATTTGACCAATTTTGGGATTTGTGATGAAATTTGATTATTTTTGCGCGAGCATTATGCCCTTAGCATATATTGATGTTATGGTTCTGATTTTTGTTAGATTCGGGGCATTTGGAGGCTGAATCGATAGGAAAAGGCATCACGGGCTAGAGTTTGGCTTAGTTTGAGGTAAGTAACACTTCCAAACTTGGTTCTGAGGGTTCGAAACCCCGAACTATGTATTCTATGATTACAATTGAGGTGACGCAAACGCCAAGTGACAGACATGTGGGCGTGCACCGTGAGGAATGCGGTCTGGATCATTCCATGGCACCGCTTAGTGACTCTTTTATGCTGATATCTATGTTGTAATTATGTGGTTATGTTAATGAGCTGCAAATCATGCTAATTATTATGTTAAGGCTTCACGCCAATACTGTTGAGGCCCGAGAGGTCATTTCTTGCTGTCATTTCATTAGCTTCAATTATATTTATACCCAGTCCTGTCCATGCATATTATATCATGCCTCAGTCTCAATTATTGCTATTTGACATATCATATCATTGTTCGGGCTAGTATCATGACATTTTAAGCCCGTGTGTGTGGGAGACTAGAGAGTATTAACTGAGTGAGGCCGAGAGCCTGATATTAATTGACAATATGGGATCGGGCTGCATGCTGCAGCAAGATATTGATCATGCCTTTGCTGGCATTGATATAGTAATTGGGCTCAGGGAAACCCCTCCGGAGTCTTTACAACCCCAGTGAGCGCAGTTGATGATTGAGGGATGGATCTTCCCTGGACATGGATCGTATCGAAAGTATTGGTATGGAGATGGATCCTCTCCATGAGGCTGGATNTTTCGGGATGGATCTTTTCTGGGCCTTATGAGCCATATACGGTTCCGAGTGGTTATGAGGTTGTAATTATTATTACCATGAGGTGGATCTTCTCTATAGGCTAGATTGGCCTTCCTTAGTAGTGAGTGACTGATGTTCGAGATGTGTGTGTGTATATATATATATAAATATACTTACATACACGCACGAGATGGATGTTTAATTAACTAAAAGCATGCTTACTCTCCTGTACGATATTCCTATTTATCTTTTGATGAGGTTGAGTTCGTCACTACTTCTCAATCCATAGTTTTGGCTTGTTACTTACTGAGTTGGTGTACTCACGTTACCCCCTGCACCTTGTGTGTAGATCCAGGAATCTATGGTCCCAGTAGCAGCCATTGATCGAGGTCGCATGCTGTGGAGTTGTTGAGGTATATGCATGGCGTTCGCAGGCCTTAGCTCTCCTTCTCATTTCTAGATGTATTTTTCTATTTGTTCTTAGACACTTTGATAGATTATGTATCTACCTTAGACGCTCATACACTCAGTGACACCTCGGTTTTAGGTTGGATTGTATATATTCTTGGAATTTCTTATGTTTCAAATAGTTCTTTAACTATTAAAAACATCCACAAATGTGTTCAAACTTATTATTATCAAGTTGATTGTTGAGATTAGGCTGGCCTAGTTTCACGATAAGCGCCATCACGACGGGTCAAGTTTTGGGTCATGACAATATTATAATTGTTTTAGGATTTATAAAGTTATTTAGACTTACAGGCGAAATTCCTTAGTCCATGTTTCATCTATGTCTTTTATGTACTAATTTTCATGCCTTACATATTCAGTACATTATTCGTACTGATTCCCTATTTCCCGGGGCCTACGTTTCATGCCCGCAGGTACAGGTAGGCAAGTTGACGGCCCCTCTACTTAGGATCCTTGATCATTGATAGTTGGCGTGCTCCACTTGATCCGGAGCTGCTTTTGATTTTGGTATGATATGCTAGTATACATATATGGGTATGACGTGGCCTAGTCCCATCTTTACATAGTTGTATTTTCTATTAGAGGTCTGTAGACAGTCATGTATAGTTGGATAGTATGTGGCCTTGTCAGCTTCCAATTTTGGGTATTTAGTTGTCTATAGCAGCCTTGTCGGCTTGCCCACTATATTCCGCATGTATATATACATATATCTTTTGGATAGGTTTCCCTCACGTATGTTATTCATGTTTATATCTTAAACGCATGCTTAAGGATGTTCGATATGAAGGATTCAGGCACCCGTCGCGGCCTAACGGTTTGGGTTGTGACAAAAGTGGTATCAGAGCAACTCTGTCCTAGGTTTGTCTATAGACCGTATCTAGTAGAGTCTTGTTTATGGGTGTGTTGTGCACTACACTTATAGACAGGAGTCTACAGGGCATATCATATGTTATCCTCTTTTTTTATCTTAGATCGTGCGATATAAGAATTCATGTTCCTAACGATATGTTACGTTTTCAGCGATGCCTCCGAAGACTACAACCACCTAGACGGGAAAGTCTGTGGCTGGTGAGACTACTAGTCGAGCGCCACGAGTTACCGGGGCTCGGGAGAAGTCTCATAGTGGGATTCCATCTCAGACTTTACATACCCCACCCTCTCTAAAAAAGTTTCGAGAGGCACTAGCTCCAGTGCTCGCCCCTGTGCGTTCATCCCCTCAGCCAGATGCACGATGAGAGATGCTATTTAGTTATTAACTCGATTAGTAGACGCGCAGGCTCAGTGTCAAAAAGTAGGTATTAATCATGCAAATAGGTCCTCAGTGCAAGGGTTCTAGATTTCATTAATTTGGACCCTCCGGTATTCACTAGGGCAGATCTAAACGAAGACCCTCAGGTATTTATCGATACAATGTAGATGACTTTGAGGGTAAAAAGGTCAGTACGACTAAGTCAGTTGAGCTAGCTTCCTATAGATTTTAGAATGTTGCAGTTAATTGGTACGAGTCTTGGGAGTTGTCCAAAGGTGAGAATGCCCCTCCAGTAGTATGGCAGGAGTTTACAGAAGCTTTTCTTCGTTATTATCTACCACCAGATCTTAGGCAGGCCAGATTTGATAGGTTCTTGACCCTTCACCAAGGTAACATGAGTGTTCGAGAGTACAATCTTCAGTTTGATTCATTGCCTAGGTATGCTCCCACTATTGTATCTAAGATGGAGGATTAAGTTCATGATTCGTGATGGGGTTAGAGCCGCACTTGCTTAACGATTGTATGTCGGTCTCATTACATCAAGACATGGATATTTCTCGTATTCAGACATACGCTCAGGGTGTAGAGGAGTGTAAGCAAAGATAGAGGGCCGATCGTGACCATGATAGGGCCTAGAATAAGAGAGCGGGGTCTTCGGGTCCTTCTGGTGAGTTTCGAGGTGGTTAGAGACAACAATACCTGATGTATCCAGCCCAGCCATCGGCTAGTGCACCCCCTCAATTTGGCAGTAAGAGATTTGATCATTCCACATATTCAGGGCCTGGTTTAGAATTAAGAGCTCAAGTTCTTAGTATAGGGGTGATTCAAGTCAGATGAGGCCGCCCTTGCCACGATGTACTTAGTGTAGTAAGCAGCATATCGGGTAGTGTCGTATGGCATTGGGTGTTTGTTATACTTGTGGTTATCCGAGCCACGTTATGAGGGTTTTCCAACCAGAGGTGATGCAAGCATAGCTCAGTCAGCGGGATCTATAGCTGGTTCATCATCATCAGTACGATCCCTAGGCAAGGTGAACAAGCACTAATGGGCCGTGGTAGAGGCAGAGGCGGAGCATCTAGCTCGAGCGATTCTCAAAACCTCATTTATACTTTGGCAGGACGACAGGATCAAGAGCCATTGCCTGATGTTGTTACAGGTATATTATCAATCTCCTCATATGATGTATATGCACTGATTGACCCAGGTTCCACCTTATCATATGTTACTCCATTGGTTGCTAGTAAGTTTGGAATAAAACTTTAATTGGTTAAACCTTTTGAGGTGTCTACACCTGTTGGGGACTCAGTGATAGCTAAGCGAGTATATAGGGGTTGTATAATAGTAGTTCATAGTTGATCTACCGTAGAGGACCTAATAGAGTTAGATATGGTAGAATTTGATGTTATAATGGGTATGGATTGGTTGGCTTCTAGTCATGCCAACGTTGATTGCATCTCAAAGATATTTCGATTTCAATATCCAAGGGAGCCTGTTTTGAAATGGAAAGGTAATATGGTGTCGCCGAGAGGTAATATGATCAGAAAGGGCTGTATTTATCACTTAGTTCGGGTTTAGGATGTGGAAGTAGAGTCACCAACCATTCAGTCCATCCCTATGATTAATGAGTTTCCCGATGTTTTCCTAATGAGCTTCTGGGTTTTCTGCCAGAGCGAGAAATTGAGTTTGCTATTGACCTACTACCAGATACTTATCCAATATCTACCCCCGCCTATAGAATGGCCCCTGCAGAGCTGAAAGAGTTAAAGGAACAACTAAAGGACTTGCTTGAAAAAGGCTTTATCAAACCTAGTACATCACCGTGGGGAGCACCTGTGTTATTTGTGTGGAAGAAAGATGGTTCCTTATGGATGTGCATTGATTATAGACAGTTAAATAAGGTGATGATCAAGAATAAGTACCCGTTCCCGAGGATTGATGATTTATTTGATCAGTTACATGGTGCCAAGTGTTTTTCAAAGATAGACTTGAGGTTTGGGTACCATCAGGTAAGGGTTAAGGAGGAAGATATACCGAAGACAGCATTCAGGACTAGATATGGGCATTTTGAATTTTGTGTTATGTCGTTCGGTTTGACCAATGTCCCAACAGTATTCATGGATTTGATTAATCGTGTGTTCAGGACCTTTTTAGATCTGTTTGTAAATGTATTTATCGACGATATATTGGTATATTATCGTTCAAAGGTTGAACATGCAAATCATTTGCGTACTATGCTCAGAGTTCTACAAAAAGGGAAATTGTATGCAAAATTCTCTAAATGTAAATTCTGGTTGAACTTTATAGCTTTTCTTGGGCATATGATTTCGAGTGAAGGCATCTGGGTGGATACACAAAAGATTGAGGCAGTAAAAACTTGACCTAGACCAACACCAATACCGACGGAGGTTCATAGCTTTCTCGGTTTGGAAGGCTATTACAGGAGATTTATAGAGGGATTTTCTTCCCTTTCAGTACCTTTGATAAAGTTAACTCAGAAGGATACCACCCCTCAGAAGGAGAAGACACCGTTTGAAATTATAGAAAATGGGGTCCTCAGATATCGAGTACGATTATGTGTCCCTAATATTGTAGGGCTGCGTCTACAGGTTATGAGAGAAACTCACTATTCTCGTTGTTCTATCCATCCATGAGAGACAAAGATGTATCATGATATCAGGGAAGTATATTGGTGGGACAAAATGAAAAAGGATATAGCAGAGTTTGTTGCTCAGTGTCCTAACTCTCAATAGGTTAAGATTTGAGCATCAAAAGCCCGGTGAATTATTGCAGGCTATGGAGATCCCGACTTGGAAATGGGAAGTAATCAATATGGATTTCATCATAGGATTACCTCGTACCCAGTGTAAGTTTTATTTGATATGGGTGATTGTTGATAGGCTTATATAGTCAGCACATTTTCTACTCGTTAGGACTACATATTCAGCAGAGGATTATGCAATGCTTTATATTAAGGAGATAGCATGACTGCATAGCGTCCTTGTATCTATTATCTCGGATAGAGGAGCTCAATTTACAGCTAACTTCTAGTGGTCCTTCCAAAAAGGATTGGGGACTCAGGTAAGTCTTAGTATAGCATTTCATCCCCAGACAGATGGACAGGCTGAGCATACTATTCAGACACTTAAGGATATGTTACAAGCATATGTGATAGACTTCAAAGGTAGCTGGGATGATCATCTGCCACTTATTGAGTTCGCATATAATAATAGATACCATTCCAGTATTCAGATGGCTCCATACGAAGCTCTTTAGGGGCAGAAGTATAGGTGGCCTAGCAGCTAGGGCCACACCCCTGCCCCTACCACGGCCTCAACCGGGCCCTCGGCCTCTAGTGGCCACAGCTGGTGGTACTGGTGGTCATCAATCCTGACTAGTCGCTCGTGTCCTCACCTTGCTCATGACTCGTGAGACCTATGTAACCTAGGCTCTGATACCAACTTGTCACGACTCTAAACCCAGACCCGGTCATGATGGCGCATCTCTTGAAGATAAGTCCAGGCGACACAATACCCAATTAATTTTAAACAATTATAATAACACAATTTAAGTCATTAATATGCTAATAATCCCAAATCATGTGGTGGTGCATATATAACGCCGTAACCTTTTCCCATAACCCATATATATATATATATACATATATACGCGTATATAACGCTATCTGGTCATGGGTCAGTGTAAATGAATGAAATGNATATATATATATATTTACATATATACGCGTATATAACGCCATCTGGTCATGGGTCAGTGTAAATGAATGAAATGCATGATAATTATGTCAATAAAATCTTTCGGAGTGTCATAAGACCATTTTACCTCTGATTAATAT